GGCAGACTCACCAGGGGTTGTCGGTCGGCGATGTTGTTGGTTAGTTTGAGTTTGTGGAAGGAGATGGGTTTTTGCATCCAGAGCTCACCCGTGGCAGGCGAGTCCGGATGGATGTAAAGGCGCTTCGTGGGCTCCGGATCCGCTTTGCCCGCAACGGCCCAACCATTGTTGTGGAATTTATAGCGGTTCTCATCCCGCGGTACAATATCCATCATCATGACGTACTTGGACTTCAGATCCAGTCCAGTAACAGACACTTTATAGGCCGGAAACATTCGTCTAAAGGGTAAGAGTAAATGGAAACAGTTGCATGGCTGCTGAGCTCTTGCAAATAGTAACAATTTCGTCCAGCCATCGGGACAAATGCAAAACTTCCAACGTTGTTCTGAAATTGGTAGTCAAAATTACAGGGCCTTGAGCATTTACTGTGTACACGGGGCGATATGTGCCATAAGCATTTTAATCAGTATGGCCTATGTAATGATATTTTTTTGTATTTGCTGGTGGGTACGCGACAGCACTCATGCTACGTAACTAAAATTAATCACATGAAAAGTTATATGCCAAGCAAATTTTATTAATTTTAATGAGTTGAAATTATAGGCACCTGTCTGTCATAATTGTTAATCAATGTACTTTCGCCGATCAAGACTACTAATACCGCCTTTCTGATGCTCCAGTGAAAAATACATTTATTTCGCGTACCGCATTTGAAAAGTTGGGTTGAATCCCCGTCTAGAGCAGTATTCTGCTTAAGTATAAATAAGCGGAGTTAGATAACAATTATAACCTCCATAGTAGTAAGTGCTTGCTGGTCTTGCCTCAAGCATGACGTCTCAATCGACCAATCGAAGTAAAAGCAAGTTGACCGTGTTTGCCAGTTCTGCGAATTGGATGCAGAAGGTGGCGATTTGAATCTACCGCGTTCACTAAAGATAATGCGTGTTCGTGAACATCCTCAGATAGGCTTGGTGGTTTACAAGCATGTCATTTCAGTTTGCTGAATTTGG